CCGCATACAGGTGACCATGTCTTAATAAATAACGCCTGCTGCTGGTTTGTAAACAACCTCGTTCAATAGGGTATCCGAGGTGTTAGAAACTTTAGAAATTCTTAGAAGAGATTTAGCTCTATCGCTTTAGTCGTGTTTATTATTGTTATAAAATATTCTGTATCCTACAAATATTTTGAATTAGAACTTTCAAAATAAAATCGGAAAATTGAATTAAAATCTTTAAAATTTCCGACTTAGGAGTGGCCGAAAACGTAAACGACTGAGAGAGCTAGAGAAAATGTTGAAGGAATGGAGATAAAATGGAAATGATGTTGCAGGAAACCACATCTGTTCCACTGCTTCCTTCCAAGGAAAAAAGACGAGCTTTTAGGCAAAAAAATGAATAAAAAAGGCCTTTTGGACTCCATTAAATCACAATTTTATCTTTATAGGATGACATAACTAGTGTCTTGCAGACAAAGTTTATGATGGTTTTTATTCCAACTGATAAGGTTTAATATGACGTGGGATATATTGATTTAAAGTTGGAAGATCTAAACCACTAGAAAGTTAAAGGCACACTAAATAGAAGCGATAAGAAGTAAATCATTATTTTCGTATAAAATGTGTTGAGACCAATGCGTATGGGGAATTTTGTGTTAATACTGAACAACGTGAGGTCAGAAACTTTGTCGAAATTGAAATTGAGCGCTTTTAGTGCCCTCTTTAGGTCATTCATCAAAATCTCGACTATCGCTGGCGCTTGAATCCCGGTCGTTTGAGAAAATTTATAGCAATAAAACTTAGCAGATAATCGACGTTTCCTCTCTGTTTCGACCAGAAATAATTGCAGTACTGGTCTTTCTAGTTGGATATTGTCGAACGGCTGGTGCTCATGAATTATGCAAACTCAGCATGTCGGTTTAATCCCATTATGATCATCATCGGTGAATGTGTTCTGTTCTATTCATGTTGGTGTCTGCTAGACATTCCTTGATCATATCGCGAGTACAACTGGTTTACATAAGCGGTAAACTCGTTCGCACACCTTAGTCGTGTTCTTTCTTGCACTATGCGTTTTACTTTCCCGTCATCCTTCTCATCCTTTATCCTTCTCATTCTGTCTTTTTCTCATCCTGTTTTTGACACATCATCTTATCAAATGAGCGACCCTTCTACTTTCTTTTGATTTAGTTTCCGCTCGATCACTACAGGATCATGTCATCTCTCAGCACGACAATTGAGTGCTATGATAACTGTTGAGTTGAACAACTGAGCCCAAAGATCTGGGTGCTTCAGTTGACTGTTGGTTTCTTTTACAAGATCATAGGCGCTTTGTGATATTCCCCGTCTTCTGACCATTCTTCCAGAAGTTCTAGAAAGTTAGCGCAGTGGTAGCGATGGCGATCATCGAAAGCATGGTTCTGGTTCGATCTCATCGTGCGCCCACCAAGTACTTCATCCTTCCCGCATCGGTAAATTGGTTCAAGACTTGTTTGGGAATAGTCCCTTCACTGCGGTCCAAGTAAAAACGCTCTAGCACGCCTAGAGAGAATCGATTCTACCAACATTCAACGATATTACGAAAGGAATATCCTCAACCAACAGCCGAACCGACATGCAAAAAGTTGAAAGACCTTCGTGGATGATGGATGCAAGGAAACGGATCGATTGTGAGAGTTGCTGGTATCCGCAAAGTAGATGTGAAAGTCGGTCGTGTAGGAAAAAGTTTATGCCCTCATTATGGTTCATTGAAACTTTTCTTATTGATCATTTCGACAGCATTCAAGTTTTAGCTATAAAATAATAGTTGTTCAATCTCATAAAGGAAGGGTATTTTCAGTTTCTTTAGTGAATATGACTACTTCTACTGCTTTGTGTTGTTTTTCTAACAGAGGCTTCTCACTGAGAGCAATCCTTTATCAAAAAGAAGGGATTTAAATTTGTCGAGCTTTTAGCGTGACTACTCTGCTCTGCAGTTGTTCACCATTAGTTTAATACAATTAATATACCTTCATGGATTATTAGGCTAACACGAGGATATAACCTTAATGATGCTAAGATATTTGCAAAACTCCGGACCGTAGGTGTCTGCGGTGGGGAGCGAACGCGCTATTGTCCTTTCTGGGGAGTAACGCGTTCACCACCACACCATGTGGGTCCTTCGTTTCGCCTCTCTCAGCTAGTTCTATCGATCTTTTGCACGAGGATGTTAAAAAGATTTATTCGGCTAATATTTCGATGTCTTCCCTAGAGCGACCTTAGCTTAATAATCCAAGAAGGTATTGTCATTAATCCCGAGGTTAGAGGTCGGTTTGAAAAACAATTAATTACCTAGAAATTTTGCATGAATTGTTATAGACGTATGTGCACATAGTTCTTGTTTTCCCATTTCTTCTTCTGCTCCTATCAGCTGTTAGTTCGATCAAGGTGAAGTCCATTCGGACTAGGAGAGCATCGCAGCATAATCACTTGAACAGGACGACACTAGGTCAGACCACCCGCAGAGCACGCACCCTGCTAAGTAGCTCATTGGGCGGAAGCTTTTATTTAACCACTAAATTCGGTAGGTAATTTATGTCTAAAGTTAGTAAGAGTGCAAACAGAAATACCTAGTCATCAAAACATCCCAATATTTCGTTGACAGGAAAAAGTTCAAGCGATTAACAAGCAGTTTTCGTCAGAGAGATAACACAGAGGAAGTGAGAATGTTTTGATTACCGAAATGAAGGGAAGCTATAAGACCAGTAAAAGGGCCCAAGTGTCCTGAAACTGGGTCCTGTGTAGAATAATAAGTTAGATGACGTCTTAGCCTTAGCTCCTATCATGGAAAGTTACCAGCTCATAGACTGAGAATCACAATGTTAACTCTTTATTTGCTTCTTACTACTAAGCTCTTCACGGCAGGATATTATGTAAAATACAACCATCATGATGCTGAGATAACTTCAACGAAGCTGAGATATTGGCAAAACTCCGGACCGCAGGTGTCTACGGTGGGGAACGAACGCGCTATTGTCCTTTCCGGGAAGTACTGCGTTCACCACCACACCATGCGGATCTCTCGTTTCGCCTGTCTCTCAGCTAGTTCTATTGATATTTTGCCATCAGCAATCACCCGTCAGCGGTAATGATCTGGGGAGACCAAATCGGCAACGAACCCAGTTAAGCTGAGGCTTTAGTTATAATCACAATCTTAATCGTTTTATTTACTGCTTGTTCTTTTTTAATGGCAGGGTATATTGCGAAATATAGCTTCAATGATGTTGAGATATTTGCAAAACTCCGGACCTCAAGTGTCTTCGGTGGGAATCGAACACGGTAATGCCCGTTCGGAGGGTGTGAGCTAAGGCATTCACCACCACACCACGCGATCTGCCAATGCCATTTATTTCTTTCTCTGGTTGTTGTGGAAATCGTTATTCAAAGTCATGAACTGTTATTAAAACTGGCTGAGAAAGAGGTAGAGCAGGGGCTTCAGAAGTGCAGTGGGTAACACGTGAGTTCCCGTAAAGGGTACTCGCGGGTTCGATCTGAACTGGAGTCGAAGTTTTGCAAATATCTCACCATCATGGTGGTTATGTTTCACATCATACTCTACCTTGAAAAAGTATAATAGCCCACAAATAAAAAGTTAATATTATTTTTATTATTTATCATTACATTATAACATGAAACAATACCACGTGCATCTTTCTGCGGATCCTGGCACTTTTTACATTCGAGTCGTTTCTTTGCATCCACCATCTACGAAAGCCTTCAAGCTCTTGTGTGTGGGTTAGGCTGTTGCTTACGGATCCTCGTTCTTTTTATGAATACTTTTTGTAGAACGCTGGCCGAGTCGATTCTCTCTGGAGTCCTGGACTAGCGTAACTAGAGCGTTCCCAATTACAGTTCAAAGAGTGAGTTGATCCCAGACAAGTCTGGTACCAATTCGGCGAACCCGGAGTAGTGAGAGCTTTGGCGGGTTCAGAACGGCTCCGTTTAAAACCTAGCCAACTTAATTCTATTTGTTCGCATCGTTCGTCGCGCGGCGCGGAGCGATGCAATTATGACGGCGGGCGGCAATTTGCGGGCTAGCTATAGAGCTTGTTATAGTTCTTTTGCTGACGTGATAGCTCTACGTATTGGATTCGATACATGCTGAGGACCCTTCGAATCACAGGTAATCATTGCTAGTGAGTTTTCATAAGGTGAATATGTTTCATGTATGTCAAGAAACTCATCACTAATTTCTCGTTTCAATCGTTTCTTAAAATATTTCTTTAGAATCTCTTTTTTTTTCTGTCTGATGGATACGGAGAGTTAGCACTACGTTTTTGTGCTTATCGATCTTTGTAACCTTTGTGTTTTGTTGAGTTGGTTTAGGCTTGGGTGTAACCTTATGCTGCTGGTAACTTAATCAGTTCTTAACTTATTGACTTTTAATGAATTTTATCAGATTTTTTTGAGCTTCTGTGACCTTACTGGAGGGATTTAAGTTCAACTATGAACGTCTTCAACCACTTTGCTTTTTTCGTTTCTCTCAAAAAACATCGTTTTGTTAATTTTTATTTATTGCTTATTCTTTATCATGGCAGGGTACGATGTTAGATATGACCCTAATGATGGCAAGTTATTTGCAAAACTCCGGACCGCCGCTGTTTGCGGTGAGGATCGAACTAGCCACTGGTCTGTCAGGGAGCTAACGCGTTCACGACCATACCGTGCAGGCCCTTCGTTTTGCCTTTCTCACAGCTGGTTCTGTGTTGTGCCAGTGCAAAATGTGTTTAGTGGAAGTTCGTTTTACAGTTCCTTTAGTGTTTTGTCTATTTTTCTCTGATTCATTGCAATAAACATTGTTTATCACCGGTGTTGTGAAGTAGCTGAATTGCTGAACTTCTTGGGTTTTTCTTTTCTTTCTGGTATCTTTGTGATTTCTTTTTGTAGCCCTTATCGTATTTTGCAGGTCAACCCGTTCTTTGTAAAGGGGTCCGCTTGAGATCAAATGCGACCACCTAAAGGAGCTCTTTTTTCAGATGCGTGAATTCAAAGTGGTTGTTCTGGGAAGTGGAGGTGTGGGTAAATCGGCGTTAACAGTTCAGTTTGTCAGCAGTACATTCATAGAGAAGTATGACCCGACAATAGAGGACTTTTATCGGAAAGAAATAGAGGTATGAGGTTTGTTCGAGCTTCACATGATTCGCGTGATCGGGTATTCTTCATTCTTCAGCCATAACTCGAAGAGTTTTCAGTTATCTTTTATAGGTCGATGGTCAGCCATGTGTATTAGAGATATTAGATACGGCTGGAACAGAGCAGTTTTCATCTATGCGTGATTTGTACATCAAGAATGGACAGGTAGTTGTGGTCTGATACGCATAAATTGTGACGTTTTTGGCAAAAATTTGATTCTTTGGGTGAGATGAAATCATACGGAAGGTGTTTTGTTGCTTTTCCGAGTAGTAGGCCTTTCTACTTATTCTAATTTCCCGTTTTAAATTTGAGGATTTAACGTTTATAAATCGTTGAAACCTGTTATATATATAGCCCTGTATAGAATCCTATACTCTATATAGAACAATAATCCTTTTGTAAGACCAGTATATATATCCTCTCAACGGTTTACCGCCTCATTGTGGCTGGGAGGTGTTCCTGCATGTCGGGCTACGATGTACAGCAGGAGGGTTCATTGCCTAGCAGGGCCTCCCAAGTTGAGGAGTCCGGTAGTCCGGCATTTCCATCAGGAAGCCCAGCTAAGAGCAAACCAATACCAGATCCAGGTTCCACCACCGTCCTGATGTCGAACTAGTCGCATTGTGGCAAATCTCCCTCTGATCCACAAAGGTGGTAGCTGCCTGTGGTGCTGACGAAGTGTGGTAGACTTTGGTTAGGTTGACCTCAGGACTCCAGGGAACCCCAATGGCTAAGCCAGCAAAGCTCCAAAAGAGTGGAGAGTATGCTGGGACCCGCACAACCAGTGAGAACAGGCCACCCAAGAATCCGAATATATATATATATATATATGTATATATACATCGGTATTACAAAAGGATTACTATCCGTGATGAATTTCTTTCAACTCAATTCTCAAAATGGGTAGTAGTAACTTTAATGTCGTAAACAGTGCTTGTTAATACTTACTGTTTTGGATATTACATACGTATTTTAACTGTTTAGAAAAGTAGGCGAAACGGGAATGCTACCTGGTTAACTTTCTCTGTGTTGCTTAATTTTTTGGAAGCTATTTTGTATGTAAAGGTATGTAGCAAAACACAGAGAGCACAAGTGGAGTAACCTCTTTATTTAGCGCGTGGAAATCTTTTGATATGCCAAATTTAGTTTAAACTGAGCTTTTGAGTGATCAAGACTTTTTCCGCATCTGTGGGTGTTAACTAAAAGTGATGTAATAGAAGAATGACGGTGCTGCGTTTGATACTCATCTGGCACTTCTTACAGTTCTTTTTAGGGTTTTGTTGTTGTGTACTCAATAACGAGTCAGCAAACGTTCCATGATATCAAGACCATGCGGGAGCAAATCGTACGGGTCAAGGTAATACAAAGTCTCTACTGACTTTTTCTTCTGTTGTTTCCTTAGTTGCAGTCTCGGCAGCGTTTGATTAATTGATTTTCAGGGGACGGAGCAAGTTCCCATATTGTTAGTAGGAAATAAATGTGATCTTCAACATCAACGGCAAGTGAGGACAGATGAGGGTATCGCTCTTGGTGAGTGATCTTGACTTTAAGCGGAGCTGTAAATATCTTTGACGTTCAAGCGGTGTTCTTAGTTAAATTGTCTGGGATGTTTTTTCATGTAATTATCCACCAAGATATGAGTAAGTCAAATGTTCACGGACTCGTAGTCTTTTGCTCTATGTTCCCCAAGGAATTGAATACGTCAGATATTCACGGACCTGGTGTTCTTGGTTCACTGTTCGCCAAGGGTTCGATACCTATGTAGTGTGTTGTGACATATACTGCTGCTCTTTTGACTTAGCCTACGTGCACTTTCTTTCTTGATTATACAGTGGTTTCTGCCTAGGTTTTCATTTTCTTAGCTCAAATGAAAGTTGATAATAAGATAACTTACTTGGATACTTAGATGGGCCGTCTTCACTGGTTGTGCAAGCCCCAGCAAGATTTCCACTTTTTCGGAGTTTTTGTGACTTGGCTATTGTGGTTCCCTGGAGTTATGAGGTCAATATAACCGAAGTCTGCCTCAGGTCCTCACCAGCACAGGTAGTCGCCGCCTTTGTGGATCAAAAGGAGATTTGACGCCATGCTAGTAGTTTGATACCAGGACCGTGGTGGCTCCTGGTATTGATTTACTCTTAGCTGAGCTTCCTGATGGAAACGCCGGACCCCTTGTCAGATTCGGAGACCTTGCTGGGAGGATGAATACCCCTGAAAACGGTTGGGCGGGATAATAGGACGAAGGTGTATTTATTGGCAATGTGCTAGTTTTTAACGACAATAATATAATATTTAAGCCATGAACGTTAACATCTACTTGGTTTCTATTCAGCTGAGTACTGGTCCTGTCCGTTCACCGAATGTTCAGCAAAAAACAACCATAACGTTAATGTGACGTTTGCTGAAATCGTCCGGGAAATGAACTACATTCAAAGCAAGGCACGGGAGAACAAAGGTTGTTGTTCGATCATGTGACATTACTAGCCAAATTTGTTTGTATACTTTCATGAAAATGTACATTTTTATTTCTGCTAGAATATTTTGTTTAAAATAGTGCGAGTCATTGATATTCGTCGCGGTGATACTTTCCCATTTCTCTTACTTATCGCATCTTATAGGAGCTTTGAAGAAATAATGATAATGAGGTTAGCTTCTTAGTAGTTTTCATTCATCATATTTGAATTTTTAAATCATAAATCATATCCTTTTTTACGTCACCAAAGGTAGCCAGTACCCCTTGCTGACCATTAAACTCTGCTCTTGTCGGGCCAGTGCCCCTATCTGACCGTTGAACTCCACACTTGTCGCATCAGTACCCCTTGCTGACCATCGAATTCCGCTCTTGTCGGTCCCTGCCTCGTGGATATATTGCCTGTTCTCAGTGTATGAAAACCCGTTGATTAGCATGTAACACACCGTGTTCGTAAGATTCATGTTTTCTTTTTTTTGTTTTTATTTTTTCATGATTTGTTTCGCTTACTTGATGCTTTCCTGTAACTCTTGCTAAGCGCTTATATCACTGTTTATATGTTTAACAGTAATAGTAGTGAAACCACAAGTGATGGAGGGGCTTTTCTTTGAAGCTCTCATAATGACGTTCAGGCTTATGTTCTCGGGTTCTTCACACCATTAAGTGTTATCCTTCCGATATTTGCTATTATAATTTCACTTTGTCATTGTTTTGCCTATGCTTTCCTTATCGTTGCTGTTTATGTTATAATAAAATACTGTGCTCTTTAGTCAGTAATAAAATCTTTGTTTTCTGTGGTTCAATAGTGTTAATAGACTCATTTGGCGCCCGTCGTGCAGTGGTCGGAGGCCCCTGCAGTGCACTAGGGGCGATCACCGCGTCCCTGGCCCACCAAACCTTCCATTCCTCCGGGGTCGGCAGATTAGTACCAGACTTCTCTGGGAGGATAGCAGCACGGTTTCGATACATCGGTATACCACCGCGAGTCATTCTGAAGGCCAGATATGCATTCAATCACCTCTTTAAAGAAGTCGGATGCATGTCGCGTCCTTCGGGGATTGATCAACACCGAGAGCCCTCTTTTTAGCTTTATTAAACTCATTTAAAAATTTTACGCTTTGTGACGATATTCTTTCTATTTTATTCCATTGTTGAGAGTTTACACGAGATTTTTACAAAAATTTTAACGGCTAACGGCCCGGCGTGTTAATGTTCATCAGAGTCAGATTGATTTGAGTCGACTAACCGTAGCCGTTTGTTCTCGTTCTATGTGTCTTCGTAGTCTCTTCGACAAATCTTCTACGGTTAATTGCTACTTGGATGAAGAACCTCATTTACTTCCTTCTTTTCCTTTGGTTTTTACAGAGAATGAATATAGCTGTATATACCAAAGAACTGAGAAAGAGGAAGTTATACTGCTGGATGACATCTAATCTAAGCAGTCATCGATTACTGGGCACCAGTAAAGTGTCAATTTATTCCATTCGCACTATTGCATGAAGCCCTTCATAGTGATTGTTGGCGGCAAGATAGCCTTTTTCCCACTTCGGATGGGAATTCCGAACCTCTGGCTATGGCGAGGAGGTGAACCATTGGACGCGAGGTACTGTGGAAGTATCATTTGCTAGTTCCTAGGATCGACTTTCCATTAACCTGGGCATTGGGTTATAAATTCGTCGTTTTCTCTCAGCAATCGCGAGGTTGTTAAACAGTATACGTTTACTTCCATACAATAACACATACAACACAATCGTAGCCGACTTTTCGGCAGAATCGCCTTCTTCAGAGCATGGAAGGTGCACCAATATGCGACTTACTGGGTCAAACGCTTCAACAGCACAAGCAGAAAGATGAGCTAAATGGCAGTCACGTTATCAACAGCTTCTCGAAAAACCCACCGAAGAAGGCGGTACTGCTGAAACGTCAGCTACGGTTGTGTTGTATGTGTTGTATGGAAGTAAACGTATGGTGTTTTACAACTTTGCGACTGCTGAGAGGAAAACGACGAACTTATGATGCTAGTGCTAAATTGTTGGTTACGAAGTTAAGGAAATTCTGGGAGGATAGAAGCACTGGCTGGAAACATCGGTAGGCCACCGCCAGTTATTGTATAGGCCTTGTTTGTATTCAGTCACTTCCAGCGATGCTTAATGAAGTCGAATTCATTGCGCATCTGTCAGCAGTTGATCAACACCGATACCCTTATCCTTTATCTTTTACTGTGTTATTTCTATCAGTAAACAAACTAATGGACAGCATTCTTGAGTGATCATTATTAAACCTTACAAACCACTTGGGCTTCCTTGGATGAAAGCTATTGAATCTAATAGCAGGTGGAATTCAGTTACATTTTATCTTCAGTGTGGTAAATTTATCCATTCTTGACTCGACCCTTCTGATTTGTTCATAACCACTTGTTTCTCTACGTATTTTAACAGATCGACGACTCTCCAGGCTATCGGTCAGGGTATGCATATAACAAAGTAGAATATTAGTATTTCCATCACAATGAAAAGCTAAGCCTTTTGGAATCGACGGGTCGTCGTTTTCACTTCCTGTGGTCAATTCTCGTATCTCGATCGGTGAAGCAGTTAAACAAGGCGGATTTTCTTGGTTGGAACGGTACTCTTGTTGCTTGTTTAAAATTACGTTCTCATATTTTATTAACTCTTAAAGGCAGTAGTAAGAGACATCGTTCAACAACACGCGCAGAGCCGCTTGTTTGACCTCATCCCGAACCATCTGAAACTTCCATTCCTCCATTTTGGTAGATTGCTACCAGATTTATTTGAGGAAAACTTCCTCCGATTCGTAAAGGTTGGCCATTGCATGTGGTAAAAATCGAAAAGGGCCTTATCACAATTATTTGAGGTTTTCAGGAGTACTTTACGCCACCAACATTCATAAAGAGTACTAAAATCCTCGAGCAACAAACAGATCTATGTGCGTACCTACCCAATGGTGTACCGCCTCATCGTGGCAGGAAGGTGTTCCTGGGTGTTGGGCTGCGATGTACAGCGGGGAGATTCATCCTCCCAGCGGGGCCTCACAAGCCGAGAAGAAGTCCGACGTTTCCATCTGGAGCCCATCTAAGAGTAAACCATTACTAGGATCCACCACCATCCTGCTATAGAACTAGTTGCATGGTGGAAAATCTCCCTCTAATATACAAGGGCGGCGACTGCCTGGGGCAGTGACGACCTCTGGCAGACTGGCCAGGCTGTCCTCGGGACTCCAGGGAACCACAATGGCTAAACCAGCAAAACTCTGAAATAATGGAGATTATGCTGGCGCCTGCACAATCAGTGAGGACTAGCCATCTAAGCATCCAAGAAGGAAGGACGCGCATGGTGTGGTGGTGAACGCGTTATCCCTTGGAAGGGGTAAAAAACGTTCGTTCCTCACCGCAGACACCTGTGATCCGGAATTTTGCAAATATCTCAGCCTCATTGAAGTTATATAGAGACCACTGTAGTAGAGGTATAGTTAGCAATACGCTTTAGGAAATCCTTCATACAAAATCTGTTTAAACAGAGGAATAGGTCGTCCTCATTTATAACTAAGCTGCAGGCTGTGTAACATATACCATTGCGCTATAATAACCTGATGCTTCCCAATTCTTACGCATTGAATACAGAAAAATTGTTCCCGTACCACTTTTGGTAACTAGGAACAGCTATTTTATTTCTGTGTAATAATATCAAAACGGAACAGGTGGCGTAGCGGTGGTGATCGCGTTCGTTACGCGATCGATCCAACAAGTCCAGTTTGATCCCACACTGGACCCCAAAGCCTCTCATTACTCCGGGGAAGGGAATGCGGTTTCAGTATTCTTTGGAATAAGCCTATTTCCTCTAACTCTCATGAGAGCGCCCTAGCACGGCTATCTCAGGATTCAACGGATAATCGTCTCGACCAGCATTCAGCAATCATGACGAAGACAAAAAAATCCTCAAACAGTAGACGAATCCATCTATACACGAAAAAAAATCGAAGACCTTCGTGGATGGCGGATGCGACGTAGCAAATCGAATGCAAGAAGTGCTAGGATTTGCACAGTGTGATACTTAAGCTATTGATCATGTAATAACGTAATTATAAATCCAGTAAGCGGCTTTCTTTTAGAGCGCGTGTAACTCAGTGGTCGGAGCCGCCCTGCAATACACGTGGGAACGGTCCCAGCGCCGCATGCCCACAAGCCTCCATACCTCTGAGGCCGGACTCGATACATCGGTAGGCCACCGTGAGTCATTGTAAAGGCCAGATATGCATTCGATCACCTCCAGCGATGCTTAGCGAAATCGAATGAATGGCGCATGCCTCAGGTATAGATCAACGCCGAGAGATTTACCTTTTATTAAGCGATTTACTTTCAACATCGGAATCGATGAATAACTCACTGTTTTCTTAATAAGCAAACATAAGGTTGTTAACTTACAAAACACGGCTAAGACAAAGTCGAAACGAAGAGCCTACGTGGCCTGTTGGTTAAGACGTTAGCCCCCGGAAAGAGTAATAACGTGTTCAATACCCACTGCAGACACCTGCGATAGTATTTCACATCATATCCTATCATGAAAAATGAATAAGCAGTAAATTAAAAGTGACTAAATCACAATTATTTATTCTCATAGCAAACAGCTTCACCTAAACACTCACAGTTTTGTTCCTTGCAAGCCCTTCAGTTATTTGGCGGAGATTAGCCGCAGGGAATCCCACACGGGTGAGGAATGTGCCTGGCTCAAGTTAAGGAATCAGCCTAAGGTTTGGTGGGAGGATTACACGGCACTCCTAGTAGCGGTTCATTCTTGGATTTTTGGAATTTGTAATACCAAGGAAACCTTACAGTAATCGTGTGTGTGCTTCTTCTGAATCATATACCTATAACCATAATGATACTGAGATATTTGCAAAACTCCAGACTGCTGGTGTCTGTGGTGGGGACCGGATGCATTCTTGCCGCTTCCGGGAGCTAACGCGTTCTCCACCACACCATGCAGTTCCTTTGTTTCAGCTGCCTCTGTATTTCACATAATATCTAGCTATACATGGCATGGCTAGCATAACCACGCCACCTATTCTTAGTGCAGAGGAATATCGGAATGACAGAAGCTCGCTAGTAGTCGTATTGCGCTCCAGTCGCTTTACGCGCTCCGGTGCTAAAATCGTTTGAAGCGGGTCGCGTACGTTCAAGAAACATCTCGAAGAACAGAGTACAATTCGAGTCGTGCTGGGAGAAGGATGGTGCTGGGTGCTCGCTTGTCCTTCTTCAGTAGGGGTCTGTGTGCTCCTGTGTTCTGAAAGCTCTTCAGTCTATCTATGACGATTCGTTTTTGTGCATTCGAAAGTCCATACTTGCAACATTTACCTTTCATTTTCAGATTTGATTTCGAGCATTGCCGTAGTTCCTAATGGACGCGGTGAGTCTAGTTCTCTGTGAATTTGGGAAATTGAACTTTGCTGTCTAAGACACTTCCAATGTTCCCAATCAACGCTACCTTCGCGTACTTGGGAACGATTGCTTTTTTTCTGCTTACGTACTTCATACTTGATAATTGATGCTTGAATGACCCATCCACACTGGTTGTTCAGGCCCAGCGTGATCTCCACTATTTCGAAGTTTTGCTGGTTTAGCCATTATGATTCGCTGGAGTCCCGAGGTCAACCTGGCCAAAGTCTGCCCCAGGTCGTCACCACCACAGGCAGTCGCATCTCCTTGTAGATCTGAGGAAAATTTACTACCGTGCGACCAATTTGGTACCAAGACGGTGACGGATCCTGGTTTTGGTTACCCTTAGCTAGGTTTCCTGATGGAAACACTGGACCCAGCTTGCGAGACCCTTCCATTGGGATGAATTACCCACTGTACATCGCAGCCCGACATCCTACTACTCAACGAGATTCAAGATCGGGTAACAGATCCTGTATAGACATGCAAGCTTCTGTGATTGTGACATTCCTAACAAATGACTCTTATTAGATATCTCTTGACATCGACGAACTGAAATCTTTGCTTGCACTCGCTAAGAGGCCCACAGTTCGAAATTGGATTGAGAGGAAAATCGAGATGTTGAACTCTAACCGGCCTGTAAGTCATGTTCATGCAGTTTTGTAAAGTTCTATATTAAGGTCATGTAGTAATGATGTTTTTGAGATTGCCTAGTATGACAATGACGATGAGTTGTTCCTACTTTAGGTTCAGCAGGCTCCTGAACCTCCTACTAGAATGTCACCCATGACAGATGACAAGGTTTCATCGTCTGCAACTCTTCCAACGGTGAAGCTTACAAGTTATGGTTCGTTGATAAACCTTAGTAAATCTTATGTGTCTTGTATTTTATTAGTCATATTTGACCATGTATGTACAGCACAGTAGGAGCGGGTGTAGCGCAGTGGTCGGAGGCGCTTTGCAGTATACATGGGATCGATCCCTGCGCCCTAGGCTCACCAAGCCTTCCATTCGTCCGGGACTGGCAAATTGGTACCAGACTTACCAGATTTGTCTGGGAGGATAGTAGCACTGGCTCAATACATTGGTGGACCACTGTGAGTTGTTGTAGAAACCAGATATGCATTCTATCACCCTAACGATGATTAGTGAAGTAGGATGCATGACGCATCCCTAAGAGATTGATCAGAGCAAAGAGCTTTATTCTTTCATCCTTTTCAAAAACAGTACTATGTTGACATATTGGAAGCGAAATGGTCGTCGGCTTGAACATCGTTATCAGACACATTTGCATTTCTTCTTCATGTGTCTGTAACCGTGATTTGCACAAGACTTTATTCTCCTTTTGAAGCTGCTTTTTGTCGAATGAAACGGAAAAGTTGTATCATAGTGGTAGCACATGCTATCGTTCTACTACATGTTGGTGTCATAGGCGAGACGTCACACCATGGCCCTGTCTTGTCTGCATGCAGATGGGCAGCGGTTAGCATAACACATTGGTTCACTTTCATTTGTATACCGCTTCTTAGCAGGGTGTAGTTAAAACCCTTCATCCCGATGGTGACGTAGTTTTACTGGGTTTACGTTTCTTTTTCGTGTTTTTTTTTCTCTTTGCAGTTCATATCTCCAGCAGGGATGTGTTTGTTTAGACGAGCAGTTTTCTTCCAGTAGGACACAACGATTTCTCAAAACATTGTTGAAATCGGTGGCATAGGGCTGTTGTTGGGGATATTCAAAATGTTTTATCGCGTCAATATTGTTTCTAAGTTTTACTTGGATACGTTGATGGCTCGTCTTCACTGCTTATACGGGCCCCAGCATAATCTCCGTTTCTTCGGAGTTTTGCTGGTTTAGCCATTGTGGTTCCCCGGAGGGTCAGCCCTAACCAAAGTCAGGTCCAGATCGTCACTGCCACAGGCAGTCGCAGCACTTGTGGATCAAAGGGATTTTGCCACCATGCGAGTAGTTCGGTGCCAGAAGGTTGGTAGATCCTTGTATTGGTTTACTTTAGCTATGCTTCCTGATGGAAACGTAGGCCTGATAATGTGTGGCAAATACCGCCCCTTATGTGTGTACACATTAAGTGAATGTTATTCTGTATTATTAATTTATTGATTCTGCCATTATTTCTCTGTGTCACATTTTCGCGTTGTAAGCTTCTAAAAGCACACTATTTCCTGGCTTTCGTTGTCGTCTTTATGGCCTGTACGAGTCTGTCCCGTGAGCGGAGGTCAGATAGTCCTTCGTTAATTTGAATTTTTTAAGGATTATTTGAAGGTTTCTGAACATATCGTAATTTTATCTGTTATAGGGTGGGATGAGTCGGACAAATTTGTTAAAGTCTACATCACGTTACAAGGAGTGCAAAACGTGAATCCATCAAACATTCAACATAGTTTCACTAATACGTATGTTCTTGGTGGCGCTTCATATTCAAGAATTTTCCTTGTAAAAGAGAGTCTTGTATCTCAGGTTACTTTAATACTAATGTCCTCACTTTTTATTTAGTGCCTATTCTTTCTTAATGGCAGGGTATTATGTGAAATACAATGACAAGGATGCTGAGATATTTGCGAAACTCCGGACCGCTGGTGTCTGTGGTGGGGACCGAACACGCTATTACCCTTCCGGAGGCTGACACATTCACCATCACACCATGGAAGCCCTTCGTTTCGCCTTTCTCTCAAACCTGTATAAGGAAAATTCTTGAATATGTTATTGACCTTTAGGTGCTATTAGCAATAGCGTGTTGGGTCCCCACCGCATAGACCAGCGGTCCAGAATTCTGCAAACATCTCAGCATCGTTATGGTCCCAGCCTAATATTTCAATACCTTTCAGCGGATACGATATTATGGTCTCAAACTGTTGCGGGAAGAACTACGTTGTCACAATGAAGGGTCTGCGTGATGAAATCGTACCGGAGGAAAGTCAGGTCAAGGTACGCAGGACGTGCGCTTTGCACGTTTCGAGAAAAAAAGATTTTTTGTATATCTACTAATAGTGATTCTTCGATAGGCGGTCTTCATTTATCGAGCCGTAACTGTGTTCACTTGGTGGTTGCTAGATGGGTTTTCCTACTTGTTCAACCTTTTGAAAGCACGTTAAAAGAGCAGTGCTGCGCCTAAATGTTATGGGTGATTTCTGCCACAAATTTGTGTTCTGTAATAGTTTTTTCCATTGTTTACGTAGTTGTTATTTGTGTGCTAACAGTCGAGTTCGTTTCGCACATTACTGTGTTTCTCGATGTATATATTCTCGAAGAAGGGTTTCGGAGTTTTTATTATCAAAATCCGAGAAGTGTCCAGCACAAGACTTGTTGCCTATGCCGCTCAAAGTGGCTCCCGNGTTTCTCGATGTATATATTCTCGAAGAAGGGTTTCGGAGTTTTTATTATCAAAATCCGAGAAGTGTCCAGCACAAGACTTGTTGCCTATGCCGCTCAAAGTGGCTCGTGTAGCGCAGTGTTTAGAGGCACCCTGTAATATACATAACATCGATCATCCCACGTTTCGGACTCATCAGGCCTTCCATCCTTCCGGGGTTGGCAAATTGGTAGCAGACTTGTCTGGAAGGATAGCAGCACTAGCTCGACACATCGGTGGGTTACCGCGAATCATTGTAAGGGCCAAATATGCATTTAGTCACCTCTAACGATGCTTGATGTAGTCGAGTGCATGGCACATCCCTCAGTGATTAAATCAACGCCGAGAACTTTATCCTTTTATCATTTAAGTCGGTTAAAATCACCTTTGAGGTGGTCATATAATTTCTGGGGGTATTTTTACATGATTTTCTGTTGCTTTTGTAAAGGTCTTTGATAATATGTGTTGATGCAAAATTAATTTAAACAAGCAGTTTCATTCAGACCGTTAAGTTACGCAACATCAATTAATGCTTCTGTTACTGAATGCTGTTGTGATTAAAGTACTGTAGATTATCTCACTATTTGGTTGATAGGTAGTTTTCAAGCTGAATAGCTCAAGTAGGCTAGTGTGCATGAAAACTTATTCATTTATTTCGAAGTACATCAGTAATATATTCACTGTTTTCTTTGGCAAGCTATCGCTTTTTCAGCATCTGTATAATCTCTCGCTCGTAGCATTTATGGAATTTTTGCAATTTTGCGAAGGACTGGTGTCGTTGGTTTTAGTAGGTTTCCGAAGGAATGGAATTTAGGAATTTAGGGTGTTCGTGATAATCGGTGCTATCAGTAAGGAGCGCTTATACATCCCGTCGTAACCATAGTAGTTCGTTCCGGATTCACAAAGTTTTATATGCTCTGTCGTCCTAATTAAACCAACTGATTATTATGTTTAACGTTTTGTTTTCTGCCTTCTATAGTTTTCATGGCAGGTTACTAAGTGAAGTACAACCACAACGTTGCTGAGGTATTTGCAAAACTCTGGACCGCAGGTGTCTATGGTGGAAAACGAACGCGCTATTGTCCTTTCAGGGGAGTAACGCGTTCACCACCGCGCCATGCGAGTCCTTCGTTTCGCCTGTCGCTCAGCTATTTCTATCGACCTTTTTGCCACAGCAATCACCCGTCAGCGGGGTTGATCTGGGGAGCCCAAATCGGTATAGAACCCAGTTAAGCTCGATAGAAATAGCTGAGAGACAGGCGAAACGAAGGACCCGCATGGTGTGGTGGTGAACGCGTTACTCCCCGGAAAGGACAATAGCGCGTTCGTTTTCCACCATAGACACCTGCGGTCCAGAGTTTTGCAAATATCTCAGCAACAAATGATTATTGCTAATTCTGTCCGTTTCTTTTTAGTTGCTCAGTCGTAATTACTGCTGAACTATATTTATCCGAATCGTCAGTTTGAGTCTCTTTCGGCACTGCATAGTATAAAACTGATTCGTAATGTCAGTTGATTTATAGTGTAACTTGTTTTGATGTTATCTGGTTTTTTGAGATGCCGTTCAGTAATAACGTACAAAGCTGCTTTTGCACCACTTCATTTGCTAGTCAAGCCTTGCAGCAGTTAAGGGTCGGAAAATTGCCGTCATGCTTGACGGTGGGAAAGTCTCTTGTCCAAAAAGTTTAGCGCCTTCCTGCGGTAACAAATTGTGGAAACCCTAGCACACCTGTTCCGCACTTGTTCCGTGGAGAATCTGTTCTACTCCAGCACCATTCACTGACATTTGTACAGGAGACCAAATCATCAAAGAGCAAGCGAATTCCAATTATATTGTTTCCTTGCGTCAGTCATTCACAAAAGTATTCCGATTTCTAGGGACTGACTATTGCTTCAGCATTTTTGGCCTTCACGAGTGCCGTGAAATGCTGTTGGAGTCAATTCTCTCACGAATTCTGAGACTTTGTTGCTACACCGTTCTCAGATTTTCATGCCAGGCAGCCACTATAGTTTGTGAATTGGGGGCCCCCATCTGATCTCAGACGAGTTTGATACCAATTTACCGACCCGAAGGGATGGGAGGCTTGATGAGTCCGGAGCAAGGTGGAGCTGCGCCTTTTTCGTAATTAAAGGCGTTACTATAACTGCGCTACTAGCCCTGTAACGAGAAATAGAAACAGAAGGACGTTAGCGTTTTGCTTGTTTCAAGGTGCTTTATATCGCTTAAGAAGGATCCCTTTCACTGGAATCTTCAGTCGCATCCTTCAATCCTGCAATTATATTTTTCTTAGAGTCTTCGGTGATTTCTGTCCTTTCGGGTAATAAAGTGGTATGGTGCTTCAGAAACGCTCGTCGTCTTGTTCATTTTTAGGAAGTTTGTAAGTTGCGCAAAGAAAAACAAGTTATGCTCTTTTTTATATGCTATTTGCAGTGGTACATGTCAAGTGGATGTGGATGTTTTACGTTTAAAAATTTAAAACAATTACGATGCATCGTAAATGGTGAAAATAGGACAAACCGTTATACCAACTGATGCATTTCAGCAAAAAGCTGACATGATTCTTGTGATGATGAAAAAAAAGACAGAAGGGAAGAAATGGGAGCAGCTGACAAAGCTGGAATACGACGAGAAGCAAAAGAGGTGTAGTAGATCAGAATTACTCTTTTATTTTAAAAAAGCATTTCTGAAACAATCTATTCTATAACACTGCAGAAAACCTAATTTTGACAAAACAATGGACGATGACCCGCAAGCTTCATTGATGAACATGATGAAACAAATGTATGAAGAAGGTGATGATGAGATGAAGCGTACAATACGAAAGGCATGGCATGAAGGTCAGACCAAGAGGAACTTTGCTGATGTTTCGTCATGAATGGGTGATCTTTAGTTAGTACTCCACTTTCTATACAGTGTTTTTCTCTTTCTATTTAACCAAGCTGCGTTGGTTTACGTTCGTTGAAACTGTAACACTATGACAATTCCGTCATTCTTAACGTACTGTTTTGATGGTTATTAGTTCTCTTGGTCATTGATATACGGTGTTGTCTAATAAATATATTTTGCAGTCGTCTTCAGAGTTACGGTTGTTCCTAAAAGGACAGCAAAAGGAATTTGTTTGTACTAAACCATATCTAAGGAGCGCAGTGGTCAGAGGCGCCTTGCAGTACACATGGGATTGATTCTTGCGCATAAGGCTCATAAGTCTTCCATCCCTCCGGGGTCGGCAAGTTGATACAGACTTTTCTAGGAGGATGGATGGCAGCACTGGATTGATACATCGGTAGGCTATCACCTCACACCTCTCTTGTGTCTTCTTACGTTGTTTGAAATAAGCAGGTTGTTGGAGAGGAGTCTGCACTTTATCTTGGCAAACATTCCGCATTGACCGAGTTAACTTGTTATAGCACTTAATCAAGACTTAACTCGGATCTTTAGAGGTTTCCGTAGAAAGCTTAACATTAACGGACATTTACGATTACCATAAATGTTGGTCAAATGGCATAGTAATATCGGTTTTTGACTTGCATTTTCATGCCCATTCTTATTCACTTGTATCAGCTATTGTCCCGTTGTCCCGTTGATCGTCGAGTGACTCGAGCTGGCGCCGGTAAATTCTCCACTTTTCCCTGTCACATGCAAGACGGGTTCTGCTCGCGCTAGGGATTCGTTGCGCATCATATTAAGATTTATTAATCGAGTTAAACACAGCTAGGATGTGGTCATCTTTGCGAACAAAGTGCAAGTTTTATCTATTGTGAGGCAGTTGTCTTCAATTTTCTGAATACTATTCTGAAGTTTATAAGGCCGCCGAAGCGGTGAGAGTGTAGATCACGGCGCTAGTGATTCTGTTGGGGAAGGTATACGTGGCGGCACCATCATGATTTCGACATTTCTGTGGTACACATGGGATCGATTCCCGAGCCACAGGCCCACCAAACCCTCTATTCTTCCGGGATACGCAAGTTGTTACCAGACTTGTCTGGGAGGATAGCAGCACTGGCTCGATACATCGGTAGGCCACCATGGGTCATTCTAGAAACCAGATATGCATTCAATCACCTCTAAACGATGCTTAATGAAGTCGAATGCATGGTGCAGACCTTAGGGATTGATCAACGCTTCACTGCTGCGTTCGTTCATACAGTACGATTATATATGTCTAGCTACACTCGTTTTATTAGACAAAATTGCCCGTTCCAGATATCAAACGGCATCGAACGTATCCTGTTGATGAAAAATTACCATTCCAACATAGTAGGCCAAGTTCTGTGTAAAAGAAAGTTACCTCAGTTAATTGGGTTATGGAGTATTTCGAAAATGCTCATAGTGAAGGAATGCTTGTCGTCGTCTTCTCATCCAACGGAGGCATTATCGTGATAAAAGCGTATGGTCAAAGCGCTCCATGGCGTGGCATTCGGGTTAGTCTTCATGAACGATTTTCCACTGTTAGTAAACCTCTTCGTTTCAGGTAGCCTGAGGTTTCCTAGTTGAAAAGAAATTCTTAGGCTACGAAAACTTCAGTTATGACTGGGTTACTCTGCTGAAAATATTTGCGAGTTTTTCATTGTTGCTTATACTTGATGAAAAAAAAGAGTAGAACAAACTGGTGGAAATGCCTTTTATACAGTGTACATTTTGACTAGAATCGAGCTATGTTGCTAACGACAGCAGGGTCAATGAGAAGATAAGATATTTCCTATTTATTAGCAGAAATCGGTAGGCTTGCCGTTGACGACTGTGTTTCTCAGGTACTCGCCCATAATCTCCGTCTTGAGGTTTAGCAACTCAGTTCCATCCTCATCGAATAACTGGAAGCGAAGCATGACCCAAGAGTCCGGAAGGCGTTTTGAGAACATCTGAATACTCTCAATACTACGAAACAAAATATTCACTACTTTTTTTTTTCGAGATGTGGACTAGATCTAACCAAGTTTTAACAAAACGCGAACGGTTTACTGCGTTCCATCGACCTATAGAGCTCAAACAAGACTTTTTTATTTGAAAAGAATGGGTATTTTTAGGGTTAAAAATACTAATAAGACCATGGATCCGAGTTCTCTACATGCAACATCTGTCAAATCCGCTTTGGATGAACTATCGATTAAATACAAAAGGTGTACAAATACAAAAATAAGGGCCCGTGTGGCACAGTGGTCGCAGGCGCCTTGCAACACACACGAGAAATCGATCCCCGCGCCCCTCGAGGATCGGAAAATTGATACCAGACTAGTTTGGGAGGATAGCAGCAATGGCTCGATACATCGGTAGGTTAGCGCGAGTCGTAGCGGCCATGTATGCATTTAATCACCTCCAAATGATGCTTGATGAAGTAGAATGCATGGTACATCGCTCAGGGATTGACCAAGCCAAGAGCCTCATCTTTTATCTGTTCTTTTATCTACAATTTTTAATGGCAGGGTATTATGTGAAATACAACGAAGAGGACGCTGAGATGTTTGCAAAATCGAGACTCTAGGCCGGATCGAAACACGATTACTCTTTCAGGGGATTAACGAGTTACACATGGCACCATTTAGGTCCCCTTTCTGCTCTTCACTGAGCCAGTCTTTTTAACCTAGCGGTGCTTGGCAATCATCTGTAAATGGATATGATCTGAGGGCACAAATCGGCGTTAAACCCAGTTCAACTGGGATTGTAGTCGAAATCACACTGTATAACTTCTTGTTTATTGCCCATTATCATTTAACGGCAAGGTATTATGTCAAATACAACCACGAGGATGCTGCGACATTTGCAAAACCCAGATCCCAGGCCAATTTTATTCACTTTTGCAAACAATAGACCGATTGGTCAAATCTTAAGGATCTTGGGAATAGCAGAGTGCTTGAATGGAAGAATGACGGGAATATTAAACAGGAGCTTCTTACTGTATAACTTACTTATTTCTTACTTCTTACTGTATACTGTGTTTACTATTTACTTTACTGTGTCGATCAACTGTTCATCAACATATTGTCTAATTTGATTAGGCATGGTCCGTAGTAGATATATCAATTATAGACGTTCGTCCTCGTGGCGAATAATCCAAAGATTGAGCGTGTTATAGCATACCTTTCCAGGAATGGTACATCGTCTACCTCCTTTAGTTACCGTATAGAGAAAGTTGTCAACCGTCTCCTTTTCACTAGAAACACTCTAAACAAAGTTTTCTTCGTTAATGAATAGATATTCCGGTTCTGTTAACGAGAATATAGAAGTTATTGATCGATTCTCAGATACGAATAACTTCAGGAGTTCAATGTACTTTTCATGCATGACTTGTTATCACTTCGTAGACCTCAAAACGGATATTAAAAAGCCTGAAGTACCGTTTCAGTAGCGGTGCTGCTCGATTTAGTGGTGCGATACTGAAATTGAAAGCGCTTGAAATGTGAACTCTCACTCGTTTAATTACTATAAGATTTCAATCTCAAAGTACTCACAGTAGTAATAGGAATTGATCGCGAACTTTTCTCACTAGCAGAAAACGAAGTGGTGAGCTAAACAGAGCGACACTTAGATAAACTTCACAGGAATCTTTTAATGATACGTGATGATAGAACTTTGTGTATAAAGTTGTTCTGTTGAAAAGAACAACTGGGAAGAAACTCACGCTGGTTTTTGTTCTCGATTGACCTCGCGCCGGCTTACTCTGAAATAATTGTTCGTTCTGAATTTGTTACTACAAATAAGGATCGTTAGATTGCTGAAACATTTATGAAGAACTTCGAACGTTTGGTAAGCTATAGTCATAGACAACATAACAGCAAAGCAACGTCGCTAAAATGGACACGACCGTCGTAGCAACAGGCTCTCTCAGAACTCGCTAGTTAAAGCGTGATGGTGCTTGGAATCCTCAGAGCGTAGACATTAGAGGTGGTTGGAGTACATAATTTGTTGAATATATGAAGATGGTAAAGCATGAATCCACATAGTTCTTTTGTTTCAAATATATTGATTGAGCCTTATTGCTTTCGTGGTCTGGCGGTAGTCATCGTCCTTGGCTCAGCGGCAGGATAAACAGGCATGGTAGGATTTTGGTGTACTCGTTTCTCCTGTAGGTAAGGAAGTTCACTGTGGTGCTTTGTTTAATAGCGTCGATGTTTTTCCTTTGACGAGTGTCCCTTGTCCGACTTGATTTATTTTTGTTGTGGATTTGCTTTCTTTCAGCTTTCCATCCTTATCCTTTACATCTTTTTAATTTCTTCATTCCTCGGAGATGATGTGAAGGGTTTTTCTTTTGGAGAGTAGAAGCAGCATGTTGTATGGTGGCGTTCTCAGCATTTATAACACGATGGTTTGCAGCATTGAAATGTGTTGTGGGACGAGGATACAATATGTAGCACAGTCCATGCTTTTGAAGTTACTGGGACCTTTCTTGGGATGTTTTATAGTTCTCGCAATAGAGCGGTTTATGACTGCCCTTGCAATACATGTATGAAAGCACTGAATATTGGGGCTTCACAGTTTTGTTTTGCTCTCAAAGTTGGTTGCAGTGGCTGGAATTGATCGGCTGTTAGTGGTATAGCGTGAGATCAGTTCCTCGTTGGAGATGATCTCTTCTAAGAATTGTAGAAGTAGTTGCATGCAGTCTCTATCGACTTATAGAACATATTTGTTAGGTAGATAGAGAATTTTCTATTTGATAGAGAAATTCTCTATAGGCAGATGCTGTTTATCGTTGTTGCAGCTAACTCTTTAGGTCATATCTGGCTAGGCCTTAATCACTATTAGAAGTTATGCAGAGTAAAGTTTATAATAAAGAATATTACTTTCTATTAGATAATGTTTATTGGTCGACTTCTCGACACGGCATTAGCCCCTTAGGTAGGGCAAACTAGAGCTATTTGTTTGTAGACATCACCTAAAGCAGTGAGATTTTGTTCAATTACAAAACTCTCACATCCGATATCAACTGAAGGATTGAGAAAACGGTCTTTTTCCTCGCCAATATCCATCTGCCAATGATAGGGAGATAACGTTTGTCTACTTTTCAGTACATTATGTTCTGTTTTATTTCTGACTATAACACAACTTCTAAATGAATGATACTACTACCAGATAAGGGTGAGTTCGGCGCAGTGGTAGAAGACGCCCTGCAACACACAAGTGGAATCGATCCCCACGCCCATGGCCCATCAAGCCTTCTATCCCTTCGGGGTTCGGCAAATTGGTACCAGACTTGTCTGGAGGATAGCAGCACTGGCTCTATACATCGGTAGGCCACCTCGAGTCATTGTAAAGGCCACATATGCATTCAATCACCTCCAAGTGATACTTAGTGAAGTCGAATGCACGGCACATCCCTCAGTGATTGATCAACACCGAGAGCTTTATGCTTTTTTTAATCATTTTGCTACCAGATATTTAGCGACACTTTGGAGAAAGCTTGAAATTTGTTTCTATCAAACAGACAACAGAAGGCCTCATGGCACCATCTCATTATAAATGTCGATATTAGTGCTCGCACGATTTTCTGAGCAAAACTGGTATACTAGTGCTGCTCTATCGAAGATCTTCAGTATATCATTGTTTTGTTGGATTCCATTTTTTCTTCATATCTAGCCTACCCGACATTTCATCAATATCCTTCTTTTCTTTCATCATTCACATGTTTTACACAGACGCTTCAAGTAACATACCTCTTGCCTTCGTTGTTCAGGATGAGATCTGCTAGATATGGAATGTATCTGAAAAAGTTAAGGACTTGTCTAGAAGAAAAAAGGGAAGGAGACTAAACATCGCAATCATTGACGTACTCGATCTCCATATTCGATGAGCCGATCGATGGCATTCTCGATAAGGTATACCGACCTATTCATGTCATTCATCATTCCGCTGGGTACAGAATGCAAGAATAAGACTATAATCCAACTTCAAGATGACTAATCGTTGATATTACAATCATTCTGTCAAGTTTGTTTGTTAGAAACAACCGATCCGGATGGTGATACTCATCCTAGTCTGAACGTCCAAATTAACCTATCAGAAAATGGCTATATTACGAAGTGGCAGCGAAAGCCAAATACTAGAAACATGTTGGTCCACTACCTCTCCTCTCAGCCCTCACCAACAAAAAGGGCACTTATAAGAAAATTGTTTCAAACAGCAACCAGCGTGTGCACAGGAAGAGAGCAGAGGGAAGAGTCTCGAAACATGGCCCGGCAAATAGCTATTTCTAATGGCTTCGAATCTGTAGTTCCTCAGGATAAGTGTAGAGGGAAACCTAAACCCCAAACGACAACTCTAGCGATAATGACGTTCCGTTTATCTTGCACCTATAAAGCGTTGCTTAAGAAGGGCCGGTCTAGAGAATTCTGTAACCGTAATTGAAATGCTACCGAGCACTCTATGACTCCGGCTAGTTCGCAAGCTCCTGTATGACCGTCTATGTACAACGCAAAATTGCATAATTTGCCGTAATGGTAAAGATGGTGATTGCATGAGTTCGGGTACAGTCTATCTGATCTCTTGTAAAGAGTGCGAGAACGGATACATTGGCGAAACGGGTGGACCGCTCTGTGTCCGCTTAAAAGAACACCTAGTCGATAAATCTAAATTGAAGCCGAACACTCTGAGACACAGAGGCATAACGGGAAGGTTTTGAAGTAGAAGCTACGATTCTCGGACAGGAGTCGAAAACACAAGCGCGCAAAACTCTCGAGGCATTCTGGATTTATTCCAAGAATCCGAAAATGAACCGCACGGAGGAATGACTCATAATTATGCGTGATATTGAGCAGTATTTAAACCTGTTATTCTAATGCGAGTAGCCCGTTACACTTCCATGTGAACTCTGTGCGGTTGGTCTCCATGTGACATACTTAGTGGAAGACTCATAAAAAGCGGTGAGTATGCGATGAAGTTATTCCGTGTTCAATGTGACTGATATCTTAGTTTAGCATTTTCTCTGGTTATGGAAATGTTTGGCTGTGTAGATTGTTGTCAACTTGGCCTTTCCAGGCTTTGAAGAAGGCGAAATCCGCGTGAACGTCGGCTTGTGTGTAAAAGAAGGAATAAAATAACACTTCGTGTTTGCTAAACAGTAATATAAAGATTTCATTGAACTTTATTGTATAAAAGATTTGTTCTCAGTTAGTCTTCTATATGGAAATATTGAAGTCTACAGGTTAGCTGTACATCGCAATTGGACACCGAAAAACACTTTCCACCTATGGTGAGGTGGTAAACCATTGGGAGAAGAAATACCAAAAATAAACAAAATTGCTAATATATTGAACGGCAGCATGTACGATAGGAATATTTCCAAGCACTTTGGTTCTTCATAGAAAATTCTTTTCCAGTTTTTTGGAAGAATTCTGGTGAATTGAAAGTTGTGCTCAGATCCTCATTTGTCTTAGGGAAATAGGTCACCAAAGTATTCAAGTACATGTTTTTGTTAACAGTTTCCTAATCCGCCTGTTTTATTTTAGAAACGTAAAAGGGCTTCGCACAATTTTCTTCAAAGATGGCATATGTATTTATATTTTCATTCCCCTGACAGCTTACTGCATCATCGTAGTTCGATCGGTAAGTTTTCCTAGGCATTGAACCACAAGGCGCAACGAGTTTCAATCCTACGTTGTTCCCTTATACAAAAGGGAGTGTAACAAACCTACATCAGAAATCGTCATCATTCCAGGAAAGACCTAGTCGAAAGGTGGTAAAGCCCTCTCCGATCCATAAAGAGCTGCGATGCTAGTACCAATTTCCTGAATCCAGATGAATTAGGACCTCGGTGGGCCATGGGCGAGTTAGGACCTCTATCGTGATCGTGATAAATGGCATCACAACCTTAGCGCTACCGACCACTCTGACCTCTTTGTTTTCTTTTAGGTCAACGTATTTACAAAAATGATTAATAGCAACCGAAAGAATGCTGAGATGTGAGCCAAATTCGAGATCTCAAGTGGTCTTTGAACCTGCAATTATCCTTTTCAGGGGCTCACGTGCTATCCACTACCAAATGAGGGCATTTTCCCACCCTGTTTTGTACGTTATCGGTGATATCAGTAATAATCTTTCAATGAAATGGAGGTGAAAAAAATGAGGAACAAATCAGCTTTGAACCCACTTAACCTGAGGATGCATAGAAATTACAAAGTGCTAAATTTTACTCACTGCCTATTGATTGCATGTTCGAAGCGCAGTTCCGAGTTCTACTCCTATCTCAGCAACTTTGTGATTGCACTTCACATTATACGCTGCCATGAAAAAGAGAATATGCGGCTAGTAGGACATAAAGCACTGCGATTAAAAACAAATTTTCATTCAAATTTCGCTGGTTGCAAAACTAGATATCAGAGAACCGATCAGTCCATGTTACTGTGTTTGTCATAACCCTCATTCATTTATTACCAGATTTTCTTCTTCTTCCGAGTTCGGAAGGATCATAGTGAGCTAGCTAGCCCTATAAACATTTCTTCAACCCCAAACTGAAGCTCCAACTTAAAGTTTCGTTTTTTTTGTGGGAAAATCTTTTAAATAGTTCATTTCACAAATAAGAGAGTTGTAACGCATGAAAACTCAGGTAGAAGGTGGCAATAAGGCAGTAAGCATAAAGTATTTCAGTAAATTCAATCATTCAAATATTGTACGACTTCATAGGATTCAGTGGGATCCACCACAGCTTCGAATTGTTCTTGAATTTATGTACAGAGGAGACCTGCGCTCGTTTATGAGAGAAGCTCGTTCAACTGAGGTATAACTTTTTAAATCCTATGACATCCTTATCGTAATCAATATTGGGTTCGTGGTAGTTTAAAGGTCTTGTTATTTTGCTTTCAGGATAATTTCAACCTTTATAACTTACATTTACACGTTTGCACATAGAGAAAAAGACAGCATTCTATCGATCACTTCATTTATTGTTCCGAGTCCTACTAATTTTTCCTATCGTTATGCTACAATTTTCTTTTTTTCTACATAGTCCTCAACAACAGCGCGTGTAACGCAGTGGTTGGAGGCGTCCTGCAATGCATAGGGGATCTATCCCCACGTCCCAGCCTTCCACCACTGCGGAGTCGTTAAATTAGTACCAGGCCTGTCTGGATGGATAGCAACACTGGCTCATCGGTAGGCCACCGCGAGTTATTGTAAAGGCCAGATACGCATTCAATCACCTCCAAACGATGCTTATCGAATGCATGGCGCATGTCTCAGGAATTGATGAATGCCGAGAGCTTTATCCTTTTTTATCCTTTAGAGTTCTGCAAAAGTAATCAGTTGTGTTGTCGGACATAAAAGTAGTGAAAATCCATTAAGGAAAGCAAAAATGTGCTCTCATGTTGTAGCCGATTAAAGAACTCGGATTTTCGTGATCTTTATTTTATATAGTTGCAGTGGTTTCTTTCTGTTATGCTGTCATGATACTGCATTATTGCTAAGCTGTAGTACCTGCCAATGGTGATTTCATTCCAGGGAAGGCGTGGCAATGAGGCAATTTGATACCAAAATGATTCTCCGCTATCCACCTCGTTATAGTCGGAGTTCTGCAAATATTTGTAATATTGTATCACGGGGTATTTTTCCATTGATGATTCTGTTATTTCTTTTAAAACAAACCATAATCACAAGTTTGACTTCGTCAGCAGCAGTCACTGATGGTGATCGCTGACATGTCCTCCGCATTACTGTAATTTTTAGAATGTAAAGGACGTAAAACGTTTTGCGAAGGACATATTTCACCGCTCTGACGTCAAAAGAAAACAAAATTGTTGCGAAGTCCTAAAAACACTAAAACCACTGAACTTACATCGAACGATCCCAAAAAGGAAAATAGCCAAACAGAACGTCAAGATAACGGCCGAATTTATGCTGTAGTAATTGTGATACCACTGAAAACAATAATAATACAATTGATATTGAAGGTGTTTTGGTAGGAATCCATGCTTGTATGTTTATTGAACGAGATTACTTGAATAACATAGATCAAAGTTAATTTTTAAAGAGGGAAGGGTTTAATTTCAGTGCAAGACCATCTATTCCCTTACATCGCGAACACTAGATATTCCTCAGTTCTATTCTAGCCCCTACTTTTTTTCCAGAAAATCGCTCCGTTTTAATGAAATTTTTTAATCAGTCAGGCGAAGCAATAAATTATTGAATGACAAATGAACTCTCTGCTCAGATGAATTCCACGAATCTCTCTTGATGGAGGCCTCTGGAGGAAGTTTGGTTCGTCATAAGTCTGTGTATCGAGTCATAACATTTTAGACAAGATGTCGAAGCCAGAGCTAGCCGACCATGCCTTTTCCCTGAAACCTAGTTTGGCTCAACGGATGGATTCAATCTATTTGTTGAGCCAGATTGGCCTATAGAGGTACTGGTGTTAATGCGACGGTTGGATTTTCATTGAGTCCTACATAGGAATTCATCCGTTCTCTGCAATCAAGTTGCTTGGAACTACAAAAGCAGTACGATGGTTCCCGGTCTGCCTCTTACCTCTTTTAGGAGAGATCGACAAGCGACATCTTTTCAAAAAACTCGGTAATCAAAGAGAGGCAAGGTGATACAGGTCATTTAAATGAACCTCTAGACGGTGAAATTTCTAATAAGACCATCACGGGGCTTCTCCAACCTCGTGACTTAGCACAGCTTGCTGAAGAAGGTACAATCTCTTCGTGCTCACATATGCAACTCATGTGCTCGGCCGAATTCAAGCTGACGAAGAAGCATGTGGATCTCGTAGGGCACTGCAGGCAACATGCATCTGAACCTATTCCATTTTTTGAAAGTTTTAAACATTTTTAACGCCAAGGTATATAAAATATAACTTCCAATGATGCTGAAATATTTGCAAAACTCCGGACCGAAGGTGTTTGCGGTGGGGAAC